AGGCTGCCTCACCAGGGCAGAGGCTCCTCGCTCCGTCCGCCCTCCCATCCCCCTGCCGTCCTTGCTCCTTTTTTTTCTTGTGGACCAATATCCCAGATATCATGTCATTTCAGCCCTGTGTACTTCTGTCTGTATCTCTGAAAAATGGGGACTTTGATGCCATGGTTTTGCCTAATGAGAGTGACAATAATTGTTCAATGTCATCAGCTTCTCCGATTGAGATGGGTCCTTGAAGTACACCACTCTTGGGAAGGGAGGGGCTGGTGTTCTGAGGAAGGGATGGAAGGGCTGGGGGAAGGGTGGGGTGGGGGTGGGGATGTAGATGGGGGGGGGGTGGGAGTGAGGGTGGATAGGTGGAGGGTGGGCCGGGGATGTGGTTGAGTGTGGGGTGAGGGTTGGATGGGTGGTAAAGTGGGGGTAGGGTAGATGGGGTGGGGACATGGAAGGGGGGGTGGGTAGATGGGAGAAGGGTTTGGATGGCTGGACAGTGGGTAGGGAAGAGGATGGTGCCTCCTTGAGGGGTCCCCTTAATCTTTAGCTCCATTGTGGGTGCTAAGAGTGTTGACCAATTAATGGCCTGTCCCAGGCCCTGTAATCCTGTCTCATCCCATCCTAATGGTGCTCCTGTGAGGCTGGCTGTCCATCCATCCATCCATCCATCCACCCTCCCATCCGTCCATCCATCTACCCATCCATCTACCCATCCTCCCATCCACCCACCCATCCATCATCCATTCGTCCATCCATCCATCCATCATCCACCCATCCATCTACGCATCCTCCCATCCATCCATCCATCCATCCACCCTCCCATCCATCCATCCATCTACGCATCCTCCCATCTATCCATCCTCCCACCCATCCATCCATCATCCATCCATCCATCCATCCACCCTCCCATCCATCCATCCATCTACGCATCCTCCCATCCATCTATCCATCCTCCCACCCATCCATCCACCCATCCATCCACCCATCCATCCATCCATCATCCATCCATCCATCCATCCACCCTCCCATCCATCCATCCATCCATCCATCCATCCATCCATCTACCCCTCCTCTCATCCATCCTCCCATACACCCACCCACTCATCCTTCCATCCTCCCATCCTCGCATGCATCCACTGACTCACTTTCTCACTCCTTTACTCACCCAGCCTCGCCAGAGTCCCTGCCTTGTGCTGGTGCCATGGGCATGGAGACAATCATGCTCAAGCCTCCCTGCCAGTGGCTCACAGCTGACTGAGGAAATGAGCAAAGCAGCCTAGACAGAACGGTGACATGTTTTCCATGCTCTGCTGTGTGGAGAAGGGGTGACGTTGGGCATGTTTGGTCAGGAGTCAAAGGGCAGGTGAAACTTGGCTGCACTAACTAAGGAACATGCTTGTTTCCAATGTCACTTTCCCTTCCTCACAGTGCATCACCTCCCGTCCTGCCCCGTCCTGCCCTGCCCTGTCCGCTTTCTTCTCTCCTGACACTTACCAGCACCTGTCACACTTGATATGTCAGTTATCTCATGGGCTGTCTATCCCCCTCCCTGGAACATAAGAGCCACCAGGGCAGGGACTCTGGTGTGTGTTGTTTATTGCCATGTCCTTGGTTCCTGGAACTTGGCACAGGGGGGCAGAGTGGTGTTGAACGTGTGGGTGGAGGGTGCAGACGGGCTCTCATCAGGGAAGAGAGGGCGGGGCGGGGAGTGCAGAGAGCAGTGAGTGGATTTGAAAGGGGATTTACGACACCCAGGAGTGGGTCCCTCGGGGTGCGGTGGAGAGGAGAGGCCTCCAGGGCGATCCTGGGCTCTGGGCCTGCTGTGGGGCACGAGGCGGGCATGTCTGTGTTTTCAGCCAAACGGCCTAGCTTCCAGCGCTCTTATTGTCCCCGGCATCTGCAATTCAACTGGAGCCCCGAGAACCTTTGCCTGGCCTGACACAGGCCCATCACCTTCCTTCCAGACTCTACTCTTCTATGAACAGCCTCAGCATGTGGCCGACCACTTTGTCAGGGACATGCCCAGAGCGTGCCCTGAATGGTCATACACACGAAGCAGTCACGGTTTTCATTCTGTGGATGCAGAAGCAGAGGCGCAGAGAGGTCAAGGAGCTTGCCCGAAGTTGCACAGCCACGAGTGGCAGAGCTGGGATTTGGACGCAGGCAGCCTGGCTCCCGACCATTCACTGAGCTGCGACCCTCTAAAGCCCAGGATGAGCACTGAACTGGTCTTGGATGTCACATCCTGCCCTTTGTCCTGTGCCGTGGCAGCTGGCACCACCCTCCTTGTATACTTCACTGACCCACTGATGGGCCAGGGGCCAGCTGCTCCTTGGTCATCACTCAGCCTGCAGGCCAGTGCGTCAGAGGTCAGAGCAACAACCGGACATGCATCCTCCTGCCCCTCTGCCAGGGAGCTCTGGTTGCGTAATGCCTGAGGCATTTGACTGCTAACCAGAAGGCTGGCAGTTCAAACCCACAGCCACTCCTCGGAAAGACGACTAGGCAATCTGCTTCCATAGAGATACCTCCTTGGCAACCCAAGGAGGGGTTGCTATGAGTCGGAATGGACTCTATGACAGTGAGTTTGGTTCTTTTGTTTGTTTTTGGCCCTTCTGCCAAAGCACAGAGCTGTCAACGCCTGCCCTTCCCTCATCCTGCTGGCCTTCTGGTCAGTGGAGGCTCTCGCTCTGGTTCCAGCTGTGTGGCTCTGGGCAAGTCCTGGGTGGTGCAGACAGTAACCGAGAAGTTGGTGGTTGGACAAACCAGAGGCAGCTGGGAAGAAAGCCTGGTGACGTGCTTCTGAAGAGTTCACAGCCGTGAGAAGCCTGTGGAGCCGTGAACAGTAATCAGCACTTAGGAGAGAATGTCGGCCGCGGCAGTGTCTGCGGGAGTGCATGGAGGGGAGGACACAGGGAAGGGGAACCCGGGGCAGGAAGGGGGAGGGGAGCTGGGCATGGTGGGAAATGCCATCAATGTCATGAGACAACATGGGTACGAACTGCTGTATGGAAAGTGAATTTGCTCTGTCAACTTTCACCCAAGTCACCATTAAAAAAAAAAAAAAAGCTCAAAAACATTTAAAAAAAAGAAAAGATTGTCTGTCTTGAGTATGGTGGTCTTTTAAATCTCTCTGTGGGATCACAGTGACAGCAGCGACTGGGAAGATGAGGTGGGAACCTCGGGGGCAGTGAGTTTACATTTATAGGGAGGAGCGGCTCAGAACAGGAGGTGGGTGGGCATGGTTGCCAACTCGACGGACGTCATCAGCGTCACTGACCTGTCCACTTCGACTCTGTGGAATTGGGGTGCATTCTTGACAAGAAACAAATAATCAAAACAAACCCAACTCCCTGATACAGCTCTGCTCTGACACACACGGCGTCACCCTGAGGCACAGTCAGTCCACTCATGGAGCTGGTTGGTGGGTTTTTTTAGGGGGGGCAACAGGCACAGCCTCCCCAAGCCTCAGTGTCCCCTGCGGCACCTCGCCAGGCTGCAGTGTGGCTCACATGTAGGCTGTAGGCTGGGGGCTTTGTAAAGGGTCAAGTGCCGAGCCCGTGAGGACCCATGATAGTGACGGCCCAGGCACGAGAGAGGCACCTGGCGCTCACGTTCCAGCCCTGTCGCCTGACCTTAGACATGGCCGTCTCTCGGCCTCAGTGGCTCCATCTGTAAAATGGGGGCATCAGCCCTGCCCTCGCTCCCTTCCCGGGCTGTGAGCCTCTGAAGGAGGAGGGTTTGGTAAACCGTGAAGGGGGCAGACATGTGAGTGACCTTGCATTGGTGTGGCTTCTTCAGGACTGCCCTGGACGACTTGGCTAGAGGCTAACGTGGTAGGCCCAGCCTCCAGCAGTGGGGTCAGGACAGCTGGGTCCCTGCCACTCAGCATGTCCTCGCCAGACCCTGCCGAGTGGCTTGCTCCGGGTGGGGACTCAGAGCTGAGGCCAACCTGACTGTGGATTGAGGAAGGAGATGATGAAATGGGACTGGGCTGGTATGAAGGGCTCAGGGTCGGCGGTGGGCATCTCCCAGGGGCTCCGGGTGGCTGGCGCATTGTGGGCCCTGTGTCCCCTTCCCTTGCTACTAGACTGGAGCCCCTTGGGGACAGGGAGTGGGTTTTATATGCCTCAGTGCACCCTTCGCTCAGAAGTTGTTTGTTGAATGAGTACGCAAGGAGCCCTGGGGGTTCTGTGGGCAGAACAAGGCAGCGGACGTTGCGTGAGCCCTGACTCCTGGCGACTCTCTGAGCTGAGCTCCACGGGGTTTAGGATTCTGAGTCTCCGGAAGCAGAGCTCTAGGCCTTTCTCTGAGGTGTCTGGGTGGATTTGAACCGCTAACGTTTGGGCAGCCGCTGAACAGCTTCACCTTTGTACCACCTGGAACTCCCCCAGGAGCTTTGGTGGCATAGTGCCTAAGGCATCTGACTGCTAACCAGAAGGCTGGCGGTTCAAACCCACCAACCACTCCTTGGATGGAAGGTTGACCAATCTACTTCTGTGGAGATACTGCCTCAGAAACCCAAGGAGGAGTCCCTATGAGTCGGGGCTGACTCGATGGCAGTCATTTTTTTTTTTTTTTTTCTGAGGGATTCCCCCACGGCAGGAGTTCTGTGCAAATTCGGGGTGTGAACTAGGCCCAGAGGACAGGGCCGGGGCCTAGGCTGGGGCTGTGAGAGGCTAGCTTGTCCCAGCCCAGCTCCTACTTCCTGGGAGCCCGCCACCTCCCGTGGCCTCTCGCCTAGTTTCCCGACATCTGGGCACTGGGACACGGGCCCTTGGCTGGGAGCTGGGAGGGCGTCCAGCTGCCTGGCGCATGGGCACTGACCCCCCTGCCTTCGTGGCCACTTGGCAGCAAACTGCCTGCTGCCTGCCCTCTGACCCCTGCCCCAGGTATTTAAGACCTGCCAGGAGCGGACAGAGAGCTGCCAGGGCCACCACGGAGGTGGCTGAAGCCCTCTCCCAGGCAAACAGATCCCGGGCTGCCCGCCCGCCCCCATCACACTGTCCATGGATTTTGTTGCTGGAGCCATTGGAGGTAAGAGAGACAAGGATGGGGGGCCATGGGAGATGGCTGCTTTAGGGGACACCAGAGGGGCTGGGGGACATGGCACCCTGCCCCAGGGCTGGGTGGCCTTCCTGACTGTGGGGGCTCTGAAGCTCTCCCTGAGGAAGTGGTGAGTCCTGGTGTAGGCCACAGGTGCAGGTAGTAGGACGGGTAGAGGAGACAGTCGGGGGACAGGCTGGGACAGGGCTGGGGGTCAGGCCTGGCAGCTGTCCTGGAGCGGGGGGACCCGGCTGCTTGGGAGTCGCTGGCGTGCAGAGGGATGACTGAGCCGTGAGAAGGGGCAAGAGGGCCCAGCGAGAGGGTGGGGAGAGGGGGCAGGGTCTGGGGAGGCAGGGGACAGGGAGGCAGCAGGGTTGTTGGACTTGAGCGGGGAGCCCTGGTCGAGCCCCAGCCTCGTGGGCCTGTGGGGGCCGCTCTGAGACTAGTCTTTGTGTGTTTTGTTTTCCCTCCCGGAAGGGCTCGTTGTAAAAGACCACTCGCTCACAGAAACGGGCTGGTTGGGAAACAGGAGCCAGCCATGACCTGCAGGCTTTTGATGCTATCTCAGGCAAGGTGCCGGGCCTTATCTGTCTGTGGAAAGAGAGCAATGACTCACAGATACTGCTGGAAACAGCCTGGGGGCAGGAGAGGAGAGAGCTGTGCAAAGAGCAGCCTGCTGGCTCCCTAACGGGGTCACACTCACTTCTGAGGTCCTGCTCTGCAGGGCCGGCCACTTGCCTGAACGTTAGCCCTTTAAGGAGGAGGCTCAGGAAGGGGTCTTGACTTACTCAAGGTCACATGGCCAGGAAGAGCACCTGAGGGCAGCGTGGATGAAAAAGGCCTGGGTGAAAAAGGCCCTCCTGCATGTCTGGCCCTGGGCCCTGCCCTTGAGGAGCTCTGGTTCTGGGGTCTCTGATAAGGGCTCTGACCACCATGCTGCTAGAAGGCACAGAGGCTGCCCTGAGGGGAGGTGATTCTGTGGTGGGGCTTTGACGAATGAGTAGGAGTTTGGTGAGCTGTATGAGAGGTTCAAGGAGAGTAATTCTACCCAAGTCCTTCAGTCAGTCAGTCACTTGCTTCACTCATTTATTTACTCTGTTCTTCTCTGATCCCACATATTCTTTTGGTCCTGGGGTACAGTAAATAGGGCACAGCCCCCACAGTCCTTATCAAGGGGCTCTCATCAGCCCCCTTCCGGGTGTGAGACCCCAGGGTCCTGCCTGCTTTTTCTCTGCCTCCCCCATGGTGCTGGGGGCTTGGACATTGAGGCCCTGGTGTCAAGAAGGGAGAAAGGAATGGGGAGATGGCACCTGGCCCGGTGTGTGGACACAGCAGAGACCCTAGTCCAGGGAGCTGGCCATGGCATCGAGGCCTCTCTGCCAAGTGTGGACTCATGCCACTCTGTCCCCGCAAACTGGTGGCTCCAGTCAGTGCTGGCTCTTCACAGGGCCCTGGTGTGACCCTGTTTTTCTCCCATCTGGACCCTGGCTCAGGCCGTGCCTCGCCCTGCCTCCTGCCAAATGCTCCACAGCTGAAATGGCTAGTGATCTCCTGGCTCACAGCCAGACCCTGCGCAGAGCGAAGCCTGAGAGTGGGGGCTGACCTGCCTGGCCCGGAGGCAGCAAACGTGACCCAGCGGAGGGCTGGGCCCAAAGCTTTCCCAAAACAGGGTGCCAGCGAGGAGGGCAGGTGCCCTTGGCTTTCAGAGCAAGACACCGCCGGCTCGGGGAGGGGGAAGCTCCAGCCGGCACAGCCCCATTTCCTCATCTGTAATGTGGGGTTGCTGCCAGAGTTAATGGGGTGTGTGCAGACAACCGGGACCCTGGGGCGTCTGCTTCCCCGGAGCCCAGCCACGAGCACGTCCCCTCCTCTGTAGGATGGGCTCAAGCATGTGGCCTTCCGTGGCCCACCTTCTCACCAGGTTGCTCTGATTTCCTTCTAGGTGTCTGTGGTGTTGCTGTGGGCTACCCCCTGGACACAGTGAAGGTTTGGTGATCGCCAGCCCTTGCCACCTGCTCTGAGGGCCCTGCTGGGCACAGGGCGCCCTCCAAGGCCAGAAGACCTTTCTAGAATGCTAGTCAGACCCGGTCCTCCCCTGCTCAAGCACCTTCAGTGGCTCCCATGGTCCCTGGGACCCTGTGTCCCTCTTTCTCACCCTGGGCCTCAGTTGTCTTATCTTAAATGGAGCTCCCAGTCTCTGCTGTGCCCACAACCAAGGGTGACTCCCCGGGGCCTGCTGACTTGCCCTCAGCCTGAGCCATCCCTTCCTGAAGCCCACCTCTCCCACAGGTTAGGATACAGACGGAGCCAAAGTACACAGGGATCTGGCACTGCGTCCGAGACACATACCACCGAGAGCGGGTAGGTGTGGGTCAGAGCTGGAGGATGGGCAAGGAGCGTGGGGGCCTAAGGCCAGCACTCACCAATAGCCAGGTGTTACTGAGCAGCCCCTGCTCCTCTCGGGGGCTCAATTCTCTCACCTTCAAAATAGGAGTAATTGCACCAACCACATGGGCCCCTTAGAGCCCAGAGCTGGGGCTTTGCAGGACACGGGGGCTCAGACGGTGAGCATGAGCTGTTGAAGATGGCGCTTTGGGTGCCTGGAAGTCACGGAGGGCAGTTCTGTCCCCTCCGCGTTGGCGTCCCTTGAAGGCAGTGCTGGGTCAAGTCATCAGGGTCCCCAGGGTCCAGCTCAGAGCCAATCAGAGGAAGGGCCTGAGGACATTAACCCTCTCATGACCCATGGGACATACAGTGCCTACATTTTCTAGTGGGAAGCTGCTATACCACTCTTAGTGCATTCTGCCATCTGCTGGGGCCTATATAACTGTGTGACTCTGAAGGCCTCCTCTCACCAAACCCAGCACCAGAGACTCTTGGGACATATATATCCCACTAATTGTATCAAGAAGGGAGTGCGTCAAGGTTGTATCCTTCCCCCATACTTATTCAATTTGTATGCTGAGCAAATAACCTGAGAAACTGGATTATATGAAGAAGAATGTGGCATCAGGATTGGAGGAAGACTTATTAACAACCAGCGATACGCAGATGGCACAACTTTGCTTGCTGAAAGTGAGGACGACTTGAAGCACTTCCTGATGAAGACTGAAGACTATAGTCTGCAGTATGGATTACACCTCAGTATAAAGAAAACAAAAATCCCCACAACTGGACCTGTAAGCAGCATCACGATAAACAGAGAGAAGATTGAGGTTGTCAAAGAATTCACGTTGCTTGGTTCTACAGCTGACGCCAATGGAAGCAGCAGTCAGGACATCAGACGACATATGTAATGTGCCATCGAGTTGGCCCCGGCTCATAGTGACCCCTCCTTGGGTTTCCAAGGCAGTATCACTACAGAAGTAGAGTGCCCAACCTTCCTTCCGAGGAGTGGCTGGTGGGTTTGAACCGCTAGCCTTCTGGTCAAGTGCCTTAGGTACTATGTTACCAGAGCTCATAGCACTGGGCAAGTCAGCTCCAAAGGACCTTGTTCAAGTGCTGAGGGAGCAAAGATGTCTCCTTGAGGACTAAGGTACGCCTAACCCAGGCCATGGTGTTTTCAATCACCTCTTATTCAGAGGTTCAGAGCTGGACAATGAATAAGGAAGACCTAAGAAGAGTTGATGCTTTTGAGTTGTGGTGTTGGAGAAAAACACTAAGGGTACCATGGTCTGCTAAAAGGATGAACAAATCTGTCCTGGAAGAAGTACAGCCGGAATGCTCCTTGGAAGTGAGAATGGCCAGACTTCGTCTCACCTACTTTGGTCATGTTGTCAGGAGGAACCATTCCCTGGAGAAGGATGTCATGCTTGGTAAGGTGGAGTTGTTGTTATGTGCCATCGAGTCAGGCCCAACTCACAGCAACCCCTCCTTGGGTTTCCGAGGCAGTATCACTGTGGAAGTAGATTGCCCAACCTTTTTTTCAAGGGGTGGCTGGTGGGTTTGAACCACCAGCCTTCTGGTTAGCAGTCAAATGCCTTAGGCACTACGCTACCAGAGCTCCTAGGGTAAGGTAAGGTGGAGGGTCAGTGAAAAAGGGGAAGGCCCTCAACGGGATGGACTGACACAGTGGCTGCACCGATGGGCTCAGGTCTAGCGGGGATCGTGGGGCTGGCACAGGACCGGGCAGCGTGTCGTTCTGCTGTGCATGGGGTCACTATGAGTTGGAGCCAACTTGACAGCACCTAACAACAATTGTATCAAAACCCATATTATCTCAAAAAAAAAAAAAATTTTTTCCATTCAAAATACCTTCCATTAATGAAAACACCTAGTTTAAACAAAAAATTAAAAGCAGAAAATAAATCAGCCTTGAAAGGGTTAGCTGAAGTGAACTTGGATTTGGGTGTGGGTCAGGGGAGAGCGAGTGAAAACTAGCAACATTACACCCGGTTCGGCCTGTCACCAAGCAGCTCCTGTGCCGCACGCTCTCTCGAGCCGGGCCTCTGGCCTTGATCCGTGTCGTCTCCTCAGTCCCCACCCTCTCAGGTGGTGTTTGACCCCACCTGACAGCTGAGGAAGTCTGAGGCTCTCGGGCAGTGACTGACTTGAGGGCGGGAGCAGGGTGGCGATTAGAGGCTGGCTCTTGGGGCCCAGGCCAGGGTCCTTGGGCAGCCCCTCCTGGCTGGGCCTCGACCTAGGCCTGACCTGCCGTCGGTCCTATCTGCCACCAGGTGCTGGGCTTCTACAGGGGCCTCTCGCTGCCTGTGTGCACCGTGTCCCTGGTCTCATCCGTGTCTTTCGGCACCTACCGCCACTGCCTTTCGCACATCTGCAGGCTTCGGTATGGGAGTGCTGATGCCAAGCCCGCCAAGGCCGACATCACGGTCTCAGGATGTGCCTCTGGCCTCGTTCGTGTGAGTAGGGGTGCAGGCAGGGTGTGGCCTCCGGGAGGGTGACAGGGCCTGAGAAGTCCTGTGGAGAAACTGAGGCTGAGTGAGGGCAGAGACTGGGCTGAGGCTACTCAGTAAGCCAGGGGAATTGCAGATGAGGACCTGCGGCCCCTCTGGGCCAAGGCGCCCTCTCTTGCTGGCAAACAGCTGGGGTCCCAGCCAGACAGTGAAGCACGGTCCTGTGGGGAGACAGAGGAACGACCGAAGGGACCCCGCACCCTCCCTATCAGGGCCATGGGCCCCAGAGTGAGAGGAGGTCATCTGGAAGCCGCCATGGAGCTGACTGGGAGAGCCCAGGCCAGGGTGGGCAGTCCCTGTGGCCCTTGCCACTCTGGGAAGGTCCCACTGAACATGAAGTTGACGATCAGCAGGACCGACCGGGTATTCCCCATCCTCACCAGTAGTCATAGAGACCTGCCCGGCCAGGCTCGCGACTGAAGGCACAGGAGAGCCTGAGGCAGCCAACACCCCTGCCCTCACGGAGTTCACACTCCAGTGGTGGAGACAGACACACACCACAAGCACTCAGAATGATTTGGGCCACCCCAGAGGCTCTGAGGGAAGCCCAGTGTCATGTGAGAGCACACAGCTGATGCCGCAGGTGACTGGCTCTGACTCTCGTTAGCGGAGTGACCTTGGAGCCGCTCTGACCTTCTGTCTCTTCTTCTGCAAGAAACATGGTGAGGGTTGAATGAGATCCTGGGTGTAAAGCCCCAGCAGGAGGCCTGACACGTATGAGCACCCACAGAAGGGCAGCTGATGTCATCAGTGACATCATGCTACCAACAATTCTGTTGTTGAATACATTCAGAACCTGACTCCCTGTCCTAGGAGAGAGTGTGTTGCTGAAGACTGCACTGGCTTTGGCCTTGGGGGCAGGTTAGTTTTGAACCCTGCTCCATCATGGCCTCTGGGTCACCTGCAAGCTTCGCGGGACCCAGGCTCCCTCACGTTGCCATGGGCAGGATGAGGATTATGGTGGTGGGGACCATCTGATTCCTACCTCCTTCTTGTTCCAGGTGTTCCTGACCTCTCCCACTGAGGTTGCCAAGGTCCGCCTGCAGACGCAGACACAGCAGCGGCGTCTCTCAGCTTCCTGGTCCTCAACTGCACCCATGTGTCCCGTGTCCCCTGCACCTGTATGCCCAGTGCCTGGGCCCAAGTACCGTGGGCCACTGCACTGCCTGACCACGGTGGCTCGTGAGGAGGGCCTTCGGGGCCTCTACAAAGGCAGCTCGGCCCTTCTCTTCCGAGATGGCCACTCCTTCGCCACCTACTTCCTGTCCTATGCCATCCTCTGTGAGTGGCTCACCCCCGCTGGCCACAGCCAACCAGGTGAGCCTGGGGCTGGGCCTGGGAGGGCAGGAGGGGTGGGGCCACAGCCAGCCAGGTGACTCCAGGGCTGGGCCTAGGGTTGGGCCTGGGAGGGCAGGAGTGGGGGCCTCAGGCCAGGGGAAGTTGAGAGGAGAGAGATGGGAGCTCTGGTGGCGTAGTGCCTAAGGCGTTTGCTGACCAGAAGGCTGGCGGTTCAAACCCACCAGCCACTCCTCAGAAGGAAAGTTGGGCAATCTACTTCAGTAGTGATACCGCCTTGGAAAGCCAAGGAGGGGTCGCTGTGAGTCAGGTCTGACTCGACGGCACATAACAACAACATGTTATAGTGGCAGTCAGGTGAGCCCAGGGTGGGAGCCTGAAGTTCCCTCGCTTGTAAAATGGTCCCTCTGGACACGTGGAGACAACACTAAGGCAGGACAGCCCGGCTATGTCAGTCACTGCGTGGCCTTGGACAAGTCACGTTGCCGGCTCCCAAACCTCATTTTCCCTGGGGCTCCACTATGCCCTGGGCACCCATGTGGCTTCCAACCTAGGTGCTTGTGGGTCTCTCCCTGCAGATGTCTTGGGGGTGCTGGTGGCCGGTGGCTGTGCAGGGGTATTGGCCTGGGCTGTGGCCACCCCCATGGACGTGATCAAGTCGCGCCTGCAGGCAGACGGACGGGGCCAGCGGCGGTACCGGGGCCTCCTACACTGTGTGGTGACCAGTGTGCGGGAGGAGGGGCCCCGGGTCCTCTTCAAAGGGCTGGTTCTGAACTGCTGTCGCGCCTTCCCTGTCAACATGGTGGTCTTTGTCACCTACGAGGCCGTGCTGAGGCTGGCCCGCGGCCTGTTCTCATAGCTGGCCCCTCCGCCCCCAGGGGCCGGCCCACAGCGGCTTCGAGAGGAGCCAGAGGGAGCCAGAGTGGAGTGTAAGTGCCCACGGGACCACAGCCCAGCACAGCTGGAGCTCCTCCAGCAGAGAGAGCCCAGCACCCACCAGGTGAAGGCGAAGGGCTGAGCTTCCAGCAGCCTGGGGTTGGCCTGAGGCCACACGAGCCCAGTTGGAGTGGGCCTTGGGTGTGGTCCGCTGTGTATTGTGTACGCTGTTCACCCACCCCGTCCACAGAGCCCCCTCCTCACTGCCATGCATTTATGGGGCCCCCTGTTCAACCCCCCTACCCACTGACTGCACTCAGCGCTATTATTGGGCTGCTCACGTACCACCCCTTCATCCTCACAGGCCCTCAAGGTCTGTCCCACTGGCCCCCATCCCAGTAGGGCACACACAAGAGAATGAGGCCCAGCTGGGCTGGCGCCGGGGCTGTGGGTTGCAGGCCCACTTGCTCCTTGGTTGGGCGGTGCAGAGGGGACAGGCATATCCCCTGGGCCTCCGTCTCTGTGGGGGACCTGGGGTGAGTGCCCTGAAGGCTTGGTCAGCTGCTGGAAATGTTTCTGAGGGTTTCAGTGGAGTGGTTCTGCGGTCTGTGGACCCGCTGCCTGAGTGCCCTTGCCCCGTGAAGGCTGCCCGCCCATGCCCAGAGGGCCCCGAACCTGTATGGCCAGACTCCTGTTGTGCTCATGGGTACCCGGAAGCCTAGCCTGGCTCTCTCTGGCTCCCCTGAAGGCCTTTTGGGTTGGGGGCCTGAGCTGGCCACGGAGCCTGCCACCGGGGCTGTTCAATAGGCAGGGGGACCCGTCCCCCTGGTTCTCTGACCCACGCCTCGTCCCCATCCTGAGCGAAGCTGGCTCTAGCCAGCTCTACCTGCTGCCCTGGTGCCTCCTGGCCCACACCGCTGGCTTTAAGCTGCCTTTCCAGAGAGGGCTGGGGGCGGGGAAGGTTCTGGGTGCACCTTGAACACTACTGAGCCGGGCATCCGACAGCCCTCACGGCGTGGGCCGACCTCTGATGAGGGTGCTGGCTCCAGCAGGGGTCACACCACAAGGCAGGGGTGAGGAAGGGATTGGTGTCTGCTTCCAAGACCCCAGCTTCCCCCTGCACCACGTAGCTCCAGCGATGGGCACCAAGCTGCGGTGAGAGGGGTCACCAGGAGAACAGGCCCAGCCCCCTCGGACCTGACCTTGACTGGGCCTTTGGCCTGAGTGACCTCCAGCCCTGGCAGAACAAACACTGTCCTGTTCCCAGAACTGTCGGGTGACCTGCTGTCCTAGTCCTGCTCCCGTCACACGATTTCCTGGTTGTCCCACATACACTGTGCTCTTTGCTAGGAATCTTCATCTCGGCGCCACCTCTTCCAGGAAGCTCTCCTGCCTGACCCACCAGGCTGCTCCTAGGTGTCTGCTATGGTGCTCCTTGGGGCTGACTATGAGCTCCTAAGGGCAGCGCATGTCTGGTTTGGTGTCCGTGTCCTAGCTCCAGGGCCTGGCACACAGTACGGGGTGTGGAATGAACGAGTGACTGTGAGCCTGTGGTGCGTTCCGTAAGTTCATCCAGCTGAACATCGCCCTGCGCACAAGGTCCTAACTCATCCCAGCCCCAGATGCGTGGGCCATTTCTGGGAGACCACTCAAGGATCAGGGTCTCAGCCCCAAGGTGCTACTGAGGGACGTGTCCTGGGAGAGGGCCTTGGCTCCCTAGGGCCTGGCAGGCGGTCATCACTGACCTGCGCCCTGTCAGCTCCCAGCCTCACAACCTCCAAGTTGGGGGGCCTTTACAGGGACTCATCCTGCCCCCTCTTTAAAGTGAGAGTAATTGTGGGTTGCAATCAGGGTCATGAAACTAAATGCTTATGAATTGCTGAGTGGAAAACTAATTTGCTTTGTAAACTCCCCCAAATCACAATAAAAAGTTGAAAAAAGTGAGTTCACCCCCGGAGATTACCTTTCAGCCAAACAGACAGGCCCATAAAGTGGACAAAACCAGGAGGAGC